TGGTTTCCATTACGCATGCTCCCTCAGCTGAGTTGAAACATCCATCCCACTTTGTCTCCTCGACAATTGTGTTTACCTCCTTTCCCAAGTGACAATCACTAGGCCCTGTCGTTTATCTTACCTCCTTGGTACATGCTTCCTCTTCTCCGCTGAAACCTTCATCTCACTTTGACTCCTCAACAACAGTGTTTACCTCCATCACACTTTTTACCTCATTCTCCTTGTAACACTCCTTTGGAATAGTTCCTTCTACAACACTGCAACAGATTTCATTGGAGTTGCACTCTTCCTAGCCATTGTACTTCATGCTACTAAATTCTGCTAAATGATCTTCACACACAAGAATGGGATGTATTTTACCCTTGCACTGCAAAAATAAAGTTTTGTTATTGATCTCTATACAAGATGTAGCCACTCTGATTTTGGTATGAGAGAAGGACTTTGGTTGACAAATATCACCATCCAAGCAAAGAAAAATACCCCATATGCTTCCAATATTGTTGAGTGTGCCCCTATTCCAGAGTTTTAAGGGTATGCCATAACACCTCAACCACACATACCTCTCTTGTTCGAGATAAAATCCTGGCTTCCATTTCACCTCAAACTGGCTCCATTCCTTCACAAACTAACTCTATTCCTTAAACCATTCTTTAATATTGCAAATATCTGATTTCAGCTCCTCTTGAGATTTGAAAGTTAATACTATATCTCATCCTCCCCCTTTTCTGACAATTACCCGATCCAATCCTTTCTCCTTCAAGAAATTTTCAATGTTAATAGTAGAGTATTCATTATTAAGCCTGACTATTGCACTATCATAGAGCCATCCACGACCATCTTCATTGGCTTTTATGGTCAAACTTGCTTTCCTAGCCACAGTGGGTGTGTCCCCTTTTAATACTTCAGCGAACGATCTTAGGCCTGTATATGAAACTTCACCCCTGTTTCTATTAGTTTTGGGAGGTCTTCTGATGGTATAGGGTCTTCTCCTGCTCTATTCATCTCTGTTGCTCCTTTCATTGGTAGTTTTTTTTAACTTCTAGCACCCTTTCATCTACCAACAGACCATTCACTTTTTGGATGGCGATGTCTACTGCTACAGGGCAATCAAATCTCACAAATCCAAATCTTGAGTTTGTCACTGTCGTTCTTTTGAAGGATATAAAGACATCCTTTACTATGCCAAACTTTGTGAGGAGTTTGAACAGAGTTTTAGCATCCATAGCTGTAGGTAAGTTATCCACAAATACAATGAACAGTCCATGTTTATCTTCCTTACCTAGAGCTCCACCTCCTTCCTGCTACCTCACTATCGGAATCCAACCTTCATTTCCTCCTTGTTCCATTACATTTTCACTAAGGCATTTTATCAAACAAGTGGAGTGTGAAAAAACTTTTAACTATGAAAATCAGGACCGACTCCCTACTCTTGAAGATTAGTTATAGATTTAGCTGAACAATCCACGTTCAACTAAATCAGTGAACAATCCATGTTCAACTAAACTTTTAACTACGAAAAACAATGAACAATCCATGTTCATTTTAGTTGCTATCTTAAAGATTAGTTAAAGAAAATGTGTAAGTCTTAAATTTTTAAAATAAATATTTTATCTTAGAATTTATTCAAATGTAATTCTCTTAATATTTATAATTTTTTTAATTGATTGATAAAATGCACCGTAAACAAACATTAAGATGATGACGATGATTATTATTATTATTATTATTATTATTATTATTATTATTATTATTATTTTATGATATTGAGCTATTAAAATATGATGTATTATAGGTTTACATCAAGAATTGTAGAAAAAAAATCGACTCGAACTATTTAATGCTAATTTTTAATATTTAATCCAAAATTGAAACTCTCAAACTAGCTCATATCGGTCATGAACCAATATAGACAATTTTTAAGGATTAGGTGAAGGTCATATTGGCATAAATATTGAGTTAAGTAACCTCTAGATCTCTTTTGATTTGAGAGAGAGAACGAGGAAAAATAATGAAGAATTAATTCATCACAATTGATATATTATAATAAAAAAATAAAATAAAAATCAATTGAGAGGGAAACATTTTTAATTAAATAAAAATCTGAGAGAGAAAAATGGGAAAAACAATTTCAGTTTAAAAAAAAAAAGCACCAAACTCTAGAACCTAAATAAAGAATTTAAGAAAGAGAATTGATTCATTGATAATAAATAAACAAAATGAAAAATTGAGAGAGATGATTTGGTCAACAGAAACCGTACTTAATCATAAGTTGGAAAAAAAAAATTACAGTAATTTACCAGTGTTCTATGTACTAAAAATAAATAATAGAGGGAAGTGGAGAAGATAGGGAGAAGAATAAATTTGAATAATGAGTCCACACCAACTTAAGGCCTCGCTTTGTATATTAGAATAAATTTCGGACAAAAATTAATTTTAAAAGTAAATTAGGAAAAACTTTAAAGACTAAAATGGAGAAAAATATTTTAAAAGGCCGAATTGAAAAAATGATAAAACATAAAAAAAATATAGTGTAATTGATCCTTAAAATTAACACTATTGATTATTTGACATTTATAACACTTTTAAATTTTCTTTCCATCATTTTTGATAGACCTTATCGAGTAGGTTATAAAACTATAAATTCAAGAGCCACTCTGTCGTGGACTTGTCAACCATGTGCATCTGAATTTTTCCTACTTTATTATCGATGAATTTTTCCTACTCAAAAGAGAAATCTCTGTGCAAGCCTAATATTAGTTGAACTAGGAAAGCTCGCTCATAAATCATCATCAACTCTTACACCAATTGTTGGGGAATTAAGGGAGCTTATGAATGCACAACTACACCATCTTAATCCATGAGGAAGAAACTCCACAGCCCATAAGCATAACACTAAGGCTAACATATATTATTTGGAATAAATATCTACTTGTTGAAAAATTTGAGAAGCCATAGCCCACATAGATCACAATTCATGTGACAAAAAACAAGAAAATATATGTGATTGGAATTAAAAGATACAATTAAAAACTGTGATCACTTAGCATTTTTGTAACAATGAATAATATGAGTCAATCTATTAAAGAGAAACTCCAAAGATTACATGCATAAAACTAAGATGAAATATAAATTATTTAAAATTCATATAAACTCAAAAGTTTAAACTTTACGAGTGAAGAATGATAGAAAACTTTGCGGAACATAAACTAAAAACCATTAAGGATTCAATTCCATACATGAAAACTATATGAATTTCTAATATACAAAATAAGTGAATACATATATTGATCCATGATAGTATGAAATCCTCTTTTAAGAAAAAGAAACATTGAATGGAAGATCTTGATCTTTAAGTTCTTTACTTGTCTAAGATCTTCAAACCACTTCTCTCTCTCTAGGCGATGGGAGCCTTCTTGTGGTGACAACTTAAGTTTTTGATGGAGAGTATAGTTTGGGACCTTACACTATTTATACTAGTATTCTTCCCATCAAAGAATCCATTCATTCAATGAATTTCATTAAATAGATTAATGTATCTTATACATTCATGATACATAATGCATCTTCTAGATTAATGAATTCATTAGATAGATTAATGTATCTTATATGTTCATAATAGATATATATTGCATCTTTAAGATTCATTCATAATGAATCTATCACATTCAATACATTGACATTATCTCCATTAGTCTTCTATACATTGTATATATAGGTGCATTCATCAATGATTAGTCACCATCTAATTGATGTACATGTATCTTTCTTAATGAGATGAATCTAGTATAATCATGCATAGGCCACATTAAGTCATATTTAGAAAAAATTCTTACAATCTCCCACTTGGCTTGTATGATTATATTACGTCACTAGATTATCATAATATGGCCAACGTTCTCCCACTAGAAGATTGCACCATCACCATTAGATTATGTTCAATGAAATTATTAGCACCACATCATTGTAGTCAGTGATTTACACATGATCAAGACTGTACAATAGTTATAGTGTTAATATTTTTCATCAACATGAATAAGTGAATCTTAAATCACAGAGATGACATTAGCAACATAATGGTGATTAACGCTAATTCATCTATAATGGTCCCGTTGTTTACATCTTCTTCTAAATTGTGCACAAGTATGAAGAATGAAAATAACAAACATAATCATTACTAATAGGAGATGATTATAACATAACATTTATCATGAACATAATACACTCATTTCAAGTCTAAACATGATAAACTTTCGACTAAGCCCATGCGCGCAACATGTTCTTGAAAGAGCTTAGGTGTGAGACCTTTAGTTAAAGGATCTGCTAACATGAGTGTAGTACCAATATGAGAGATGGAAACAGTTTGATTTAGAACCCTTTCTTTAACAACTAGATACTTGATATCAATATGCTTTGATCCTCCTGAAGTTTTGTTATTATTGGAGAACCGCACAACAGCATCATTATCACAATAAATCTGTAAGGGCTTCAAAATTGAATCGACAAGTTGTGATCCAGATATGAAATTCTTTAGCCATACTGCATGACATGTGGCTTCATAACATGCTATGAACTCTGCCTCCATAGTGGAAGAGGCTGTCAAAGATTGCTTATGACTCTTCCGCGAAATGGGTCCATTAGCAAGTATAAAAATGTACCCAGAAGTGGACTTTCGAGTGTCTTTACATCCAGCATAATCAGCATCTGAATAACCAACCACTTCAAGGCTGTCTGGTCTTTGATAAGTGAGCATGTAATCCTTAGTGCCTTGTAAATATCGCAACACTTTCTTAACTGCTTTCCAATGATCAAGTCCGGGATTGCTTTGGTATCAACCCAGCATACCAACTACAAATGCTATGTCAGGACGTGTACAAATTTGAGCATACATAATGCTCCCAACTGCAGAGGCATAAGGAATTCATTACTTACGATGCAGTGATTAGGATAAGGTAGGTGGACAGACACATAGTTAGTTCGGTCACGCCAGAGAATGCCCGTCGATGGGGAGTGGATGTGGAGTGGCACCGGTTAGTAATCGATTGATTTCCCACATACAATACAAAGGAGTGGTCCTGGAAGTACTGGTTAGTGACTGATTGATTTCACACATATCAGGAGAGAGGACTAATCCACAAGACCTAGAGGAGGAAGGAGTATTCAGCAGTTAGTACAATGTAAAGCTGTTCTAATTGAAGACACCATATAGGTAACGAGGATGAGGCTTACACGTAGAGCTACACATAGTGTGCTACAGGGGCCCCTAATCAAAGGAGCCTAATTCACAGGGAGGACACATAAGTAAGTCAGTAAGTTCCCAAGAGATCATTGTTGCTAGCCGGCCGTCATCCAGCCAGTGTCTCATCCATATTGTAAGAGGGTCCTTGCCATACAGTCGATACTCGCATCTCTTTGGAATAGAAAATCCCTCCATGTTAGTTTGTTTGGTTGGGACAGATTTAAAAAACCTCCTCATTGCACATTTTTCCATTTCCATGGTCAAAACTTCATTTGGATGGGTTCGCTGAATCCTCTCTCTCTTCTAATCGAGGCACATAGAGGGTGGAGATGAGAAATCCATCTCAAGATGCTGAATCATACATTCATTGGAGCCATGCCATAGCAGCAGAGACAGCTAGCTCAACAGGTCTTCACAACGACACTACCCATGACCCTTTCACAAGAGGTTTGAGTTCAAATAAGTGACCCGGATCTATACAAAGGTCCAATCCATCGGATTTCACTTCAAAAAATGCTTTTCTTTTTAGAAACCGGGGTTGTATGACTAGCTTCTCCTTCTCGGGGACATTAAAGGGATTGTATTAGTGAATAATAATGTTATTTCTAGAAGTTTCTCTACGGAGAGGTGGTATGCCAATTCCAATCCCAATGGGTTTACTACTCCTACAGTGCCAATGGATCAACAAGGGGAATAATCCCACATACGATCTCGCATATCTACGGCACCCAAACAACCAGTTGAATCCATGTTAGTTGGTTGGCTAGTGTGAGACTCTCTCTATCAATTCGATATACATATGATACTCGCATTGAGACGTCCTTGCCATAGATTTTTGAACCTATGTCCTAACCCCTTTCATTGGCCTTTATGATAAGCCAGTCCCACAGGCTTAAGGAAATAGGGAGAAGAAAGAAAGGAGATGGACCCCAAGTTACCACCAAATGAGATTGATTGAGCTATGGATGCACTACCTGGGTCGGAGCAAGCAATAAGGTCGCTTGGATCGGACCTATTAAATGGATTTTATATCGAATGAAACATACCCTTTCTGATAGGTTATCTATGATTGCTGGGTGGTGATTCAATAGATCCAGGTAGGTTTAGATGCCAGTCAAAGCTGGGCGGGCTGTGACACTTGGGATATGATACTTGGTCAGATATTAGTTATAGAAAATAGCCTGATTATACATTCTTTGCTAATAAAATGGCTACTTTTGGAGGCACAAAAATTCCTGATCTGACCTACTAACTCTAAATAAATTTTCTTCTTTATGAAAGGTGCCCTCTCATGACCTTTCTATAGGATTGACAGGTGTCGCTTATAGCCAGGAGTCAATGCCAGTACTCTATCCTGGTACTCGATCCCAGTAGTTTGATGCTGTCAAAGACAACTTGCTGCTTGCTGGCTGGGATATGAACCAAGGGCCTGTTCGAGCTTGCTTCCTGGCTGGCCTAGCTGGGTGGAGAGGAGAGCTAGCGGTGGAGAAGGAAGCAGAACGCTCTGAATATGCAATCTTAAGCTTTGGGCTTTCTCTTGTGGAGAAAATAGAATATCTGGAGACTCTAATGGATTTGCCTATTACTAAAATAGGCCATTTCAGCAAGTTTCTCTATAGGGTATGCCCTTTCACCCTTTCCCACTTCCATAGCGTATAGTACGGATATGAGAAATCCATCTCAACCTGAATTAGACATTCGTTGCTGAAGCCATGTAGGTTACTTAACTAGCATATAAATGAAGTTGATGCTATTAATCCATTCAAGCCAGGTGCCAATGTCAGAACTGGGCTCATATACTCCGCTTGGTTACTCTACTTGGGTTGGTCCATACTTGTTAATATATGATATCGCATTGAGACGTCCTTGCCATGGCAAGTACAAACTCCCACCACCTTTCCCATTCACTGCTATATCCAATAGCCTAGCTCTACTATCTGTGCTTAGCCTCTCTGTAGTGCCGAGACTCTATGTAGTGCGAGTTCAAAAGGTATCCATTCTTGTCAAAAGAATTTGAGTATGGTAAGTTTACTATAGGTTATATCATTAAAATGCCAAATAATCAAATACCAAAAGAAGACGTTTCCTTTACAATAGGAAGTGCTATTTCTTTAAATGATTCTAGTGGTAATGGAGTTCCTAACATGGATGTATATAATAAGATTAATCAATTAATAATCAAAAAAGCGGAGGATTACGATCAAGAATTGCTATCGGGTATATTCATTCGATTGTATATGGTAGGTATGCAGGAAAAATTGTTATCTATTAGCGAGTCTGAAATAGATGCCCAACCTTGGAAATTAATTCATTCCAACACAGTTGGTGGTGAACCACAAGAGGTGAAAGATATGGATAGGAAGAAGCGTAAGTATACCAATCATATCCCTGCACTCAAACCTAGTGATAAGAAGAGGCTTCCTTTCATTGTAGCTGATATGGAGACAACTCTAAAAGAAAATGTTCATGTTCCTTACGCAGCTGGTTTCTTAGTGGTTAAGCTGGGTGACGATGTTGGTGCCAAGCCTAATTATTCAATTGAAACATATTTCAGTGAAGATTACGAACCAGTAATACCTGATTTTAAAGAAAGGAGTAATAAAATGTTGTTAGACTTTCTAGAGCGTTTAGCAGTGGTTACTGGTGAAACTAAGATTCGAACAGTTTACTTCCATAACGTATCACGATTCAATGGTATTCTATTACTGAAATATTATACTTCTCATTGTGGGGATAAGTACAAAATCAAACCTCTTATAAGGAACTATATGCTTTACGAGATAGCAGTGTATCTGGGAAAGAAAAGGGTGTTCTGTCTAAGGGATTCATACACTCTGCTCCCTAGTAGTCTTGAAACATTGAGTAAGACTTTATGTCCTCAATTAGGTTCAAAAGGCTCCATCCAACATGGCGAAGTGAATGAGTTTAATCTGATGAAGCTTAAAGCAGAATTGTTGGATTATATGCAACAGGATATTCGTCTGTTAGGTGGTGTTATGCTGAAGGCTCAAGATATTTATTGGACTCAGTACAAAGTTGATATAGAGAATTGCATGACATTGTTAACGCTAGCTATGACTATTTATCGTACGAGCTATTACAATGAAAATAGTTGGCCTATCCATATACCAAGTATGAACAAAGATACATTCATTTGGCGTGGATACTATGGAGGCCATATTGATGTATATAATCCATATGGTGAAAATTTATACTACTATGATGTGAATCATTATATCCATACATAATGAAAACTTATCCTATGCCGGGTGGTGTACCTGTTTGGCATGGTAATTTGGAAGACCAGGAATTATCCAACTTGTATGGATTTATTGAGGCTTATGTAGAGTGTCCTAGTACAATTACTCGACCTTTCTTACCCTATAGGGTAGATAATGCGAGTTTAGTTTTCCCAACAGGTGAATTCGTAGGTGTGTATTTTAGCGAAGAATTGATTTTTTAGTGCGACTTGGGTTACAAGATTATACCACTAAAGGGCTACTTGTTTGAGAAGAAGCCTAGTCCTTCTGACAGCTCTGTGTCATCCCTTTTCGGGAGAAGACAAGAAACTAAGAAAACAGGTAATGAAGCAATGGCATATGGGTACAAGATACTAATGAACTCACTGTACGGTAGATTTGGTATAAATCCAAAAAGTACTACAACAGAGGTATGCTCTAGGGAAATATATGACTATTTGACGCATAATAAGAATTTTGTCACAGTGAACAAGCTGAGTGATTCTTACTATATCGTAAGTTACATTCGCAATATGGGAAATGTTGACCCGTTAGAGTGGAATCTTCCTAAGGTATCGGCTGTTCAATTATCCGCTGCTATTACAGCTTGTGCTCGTATTCATATGTACAAATACATTTCTAGACCAGACTGTTACTACACTGATACTGACTCCGCAATTCTAGGAAGTCCTCTTCCTGAAGAAAAAATTTCTTCCATTGAATTGGGTAAGTTAAAGATTGAGCACTTTGTAAAGAAAGCTATCTTCTTAGCACCTAAAAGTTATATCTTATACACTGAAGAAGGTAGTAATATAATTAAGCACAAAGGTGCAGCTAAAGAGCATGTAGATCCTGAATGGTTTGAATCACAATACGCTGATCTGTCTCGAACAAAGCATGTCAAGGGGGTATCTACCTTCAAAATTAATTGGCATAACCTACACATAACCAAAAGGGAATACCAAGTTAAACTTGGAATACAACTGGGTACTAAAAGGCTTCCAGTCTTTGATAATAACAATATTTGGGTAGACACACAACCTAAGGTTGTAATAGACTTCGGTGGTCAAGAAAGCTCTATTCTCAAATTGATGTTGAAGATTCTTCAGGAACAGTATGACAAGATAGTGAAAGAATATGAGGAGAGGATTGACAAGAAAGAGAAAGAATACGAGGAGAGGATTGCTAGTATACGGAAAGAATATGATAAAAAGCGTGAAGAGATGATATTGAGGTTTGCTAAGCTTCCTGAGGAACCAGTGATGAGCCCTCTTACTGAATCCCCAACAGGATTAGAGCAACCTATAGGGACGAAGAAACCAAAGAAGCAGAAGAAAGGGACGAAGAAGCAGAAGAAAGGGACGAAGAAGCAGAAGAAAGGGACAAAGAAACCGAAGAAACCGAAGAAAGGGACGAAGAAGCCGAAGAAAGGGACGAAGAAGCCGAAGGGGCCGAATGACACTAGCTAACCAACGGAGAGAGAAGAACGAGTTTACTCACTCTCACTGAGTCTCTTTGCATCCATGGCTGAATGGTTAAAGTGCACAAGAAGAGAGTAGGTTCAATTCCCACAGGATGCACACCATAAATCTTCTTCCATATGAGTTCTAGTCTAAATAAGAGTGCTAGTTCTTATTGAGACTAGTATGAATGATAGTTTGGATTATTGATTTGTTGATGGCTAATCTTGATTGACTGAGACTAGGAGCCCTAAGTAAGAGTGAGAACTTCCTTTTCAATGAGATAAACTACCTACGCTAATAGCGTTTGATGAGACAGCTAAAGAAGGAGTTTTAGTTGCCTGCATTAGGATTGAGTAGCGCCCCAAATGCTAGTTTCAGTCAAAGATAACCGATTGCTACTAAGAAGCTAATATAGCTTTTTCGAATATTGAATCAAAGTTGATCATATGGATTGCATCCGCTGTCCACTCTTAGTTCTTGCTAGAGAAAGCTAAGATAGCTAGCCTTAGTCTAGGTCTCACCTTTGCCCTAGACCTAACAGCAGGAGCCTAGCCCGCGAGTACCGACTGCCTTAGCCGGATAGGGATAGTCACGATTATATCCAAACTCTCATTTAAAGGCTTAAGAGAGGCCGATAATAAGAATATATACCAAACAAAGTGTTCACTCTAGTTTATCTCCATCACTCATGGATCGATAGACCAAGATTTGGGGGACTAAATGAGTTCAATCAAAGAGCGAAGGGGACTAATGAGACTAGCTAACCAACGGAGATAGAAGAACAATAGTCTCTCTTGAACTGGGTGCTACTCTCTCTCAGGGAGTCGCTTTCTCTTCTTCCTTGCCTTTTGAGCTGGGGCAATCAATCAGTCCATTCATTCCCGTCCTTACTCAATCAGTTCGATAGAATCTCCTTTTTTTTTTTGTTTGGCGCAGCCTCAAGATTCCTATTCTTATTCCTCATAAGCTAGTGAAGTTCTTTCGATTGAAGTATCCATTGTAATCGGTCGAGTTGCTCTGGTAAGGGTCACCCCGATCCCTCCAATTCCCTTCAACCTCCAACTAATCCAATCTTATGGGGATACGATCCCAAAGCACGATGCGAATACCATTCAGGGATGGTAGGCCACGGAACTGATCATTGTTCGCAGTTAAGGCACCGTGTCCAAGACCTTCTCGGTCAAAAATGACTAATTATTTGAAAGAACAAGCTTCACAAGCAGGTAATTTAGAGAGCAGAGATATACAACCATTTATCCAAACATGGACATACTCAAAGTGTCTCAAAACGGATTTGGTTATCTTGCCTTGACTGCCAGAAGGAAATCGGTAACTGATTCTGAGATAAAACAGGAACACCATTGGGATAACGACATCAGATCATATTTAGAGGATCACGCAATGGCAGCAGGAACTTTGGGAGATTCTTTGGAGCCTCCTACAATCGAGGAAGTGAATGAAATGAAGCTCCGACACAGGAAATGAGAACTAGATCCGTCTCAACTAATCACTCCTCCAGGAGCCTAGGGGCGCATTCATACCAGCCAAGAACAGTTTTCCGACATCAACATGGTCACTCTAGACAAAATACCCAAAGATCCTCCCAAGCGGCGACCAAAGAAAACCCAATTGAAGATAGCAAATGACTTGTATGGACGTGTCTACTAAGTCTATGGCCCAGATGGTTTTCCGATACCAGGAGAATACCGGACCGAGTCGTATCTATCTGAAGGCAGGACTGCCTTCCTCTCGATTGATCTTTGCCGCCCCCTCGACCTATAAATCTATATCTGTATCTTTCTCAGCTGGAAGTCTTTAACCGGCCCTCCAATTCAAGCTGTCAATCCCAGCAATCAAACAATTGAATAAAGCCGGTCGACACCTAACTCTCTTCTTCAGAAGGCAATCCCAGCAGTAAAGCAGTAAGTGAATCCATCTATTAAACCACCAACTTAAGAAAGTGGAACCAAGCCAACGCCAGCTATTGGTCAATATGGAGATTGATTCTAAGCCAGCAATCCAGTCTAAACGAGTGAGTCATATAAGTCTTACCAATCGAATCAAAGCAATTGAGCCAATCGGAGTCGGCACTTTGGAGCTAAAGCCTATCGATCTCGTTCCTCAATCTCTCATTCAATCGGAGCTTCTCGTGGCTGCCTCTCAATCTCAATCCCTTCTCTGAATCGTTCGTAACAAGGTAGTTGGAGCTCGGGCTGGATTGAATCCTTTGTTTGATAATTACTATTCCTGATTTAACATTTGAATCAGGAACCCATTCTTTGGTATGATTTTTGGACGTTGACTAAGCAAGGAAGGAAAAGCAATGATTAGATTGGAGCTTCTTTCTTTTAGGACTAAGATTGCCTTCCTTCATTCACTTGTAGTTAAGTAAGGCCTCCTCGCTTCGTTCTTTTCCCTATCTAGTCTGAGAGCGAGGAGGGTGGGTGGTCGTAGATCGCAAAGAATAGGGTTATCTTTCCTTTAGGTGGCCACTGAAGAGCCAACCAAGCTTCGTATTCTCCTTGTTGAGGGCATAACCTATTATATGGATCAAGCCTTTACTAAGGGTCCCCCTGCCCACGAGCAGTAATTCCTATCTAGGATTCTCAGTTGTTCTTTTGAAGGTAATAGAAGACGATCAGATGAAAAATCGTCTGCACCTATTGTCATCGTCTTCTTAAGAGATTGTGGATCGGAAGCTGCAACCTTTTATTTCAGACTTTCCTACAGATTCAGCCGGATGCCTTCCTTTCTTGTTGACAGACAGAAAAAACGATAGAAAATGGATGAATATTCATTCTATTGCCACTGTCTCTAATGAGAAAAGGTCTTTAAGATGCTTTCACGTCAAATCTCTTATTGGAAGAAGCAAATGCGATTTCATGGGCCGGCCCTAGGAGCAAACATCCGATCATTCAATTACGGACATAAGGAAGTTAGCAGCGGACGTTAGATTTACCTGTCATCTGTTATGTATGATACACTACTACCATTCCAGATAGGAGAGGCTAGAAGGGATCCCGCTTTTGGAACATTAACAAAGAGCGCGAATCTAGAAGCAGCAGAAGCTGGAAGACCAGGCACCCTCTTACCGAAATCATTGATCTTGCTGAGCCAGGCAGGCCCTTAGCCCTTACTATGATACGACATGGGGCACGAGCATTGAATGATTCTAGCTCGAGGGTCGATGAACTCTCTTAAGCCGAATGCCCTTCGCTCGTTAAAAAGCAAGTAACCCTAAACAGCATCCGTTTGCCTCCACTCTTTCTTTCCTTCCAAGCCTACCCACAACCCTCTTTACCAGAACCGAACATAGAGTCTTAGCTTCCCCTGCAATCAGTCAGCCAGCAGGGGTGGCGGTTATGGTACCCCTTTGGGGGGCTGATAGTACCTCTTTAGGTGGATGTAAGGGAGAAGCTCTTAAATATTCCAAATTAATGTACGGCTCTTTTTCGTCACAAAGACTCCCCATTGTCTTGTTGTTCCTCGTACGTGTATCAGGGGGCGGCAAACTTGCCTTAAAACATCTGGAAATGGTCATACAAACGTTCTATTTTCTACCTAGGGGCCTTTCTCATTCAGCGGTAAACCTTACCAAGACTAGTTGCCTCAACGAATTGATATGCTTTTTCTTTTTGTGAGACCAGCGAATGCTGAATACGGAGAAAGACAATGAAATCATAACAAAGCAGGTAAACCAAGCAAGCTTACAGAATTTGGAGAATGAAAACTAAGAATAAGCTCTTTTGACCAATTAGCACCTTTGGTAGCCAGAAAGAGGATATCATAGAAAGCATTCATAGTACTTTCTACGGTCATGGATCAAAAGCACATTCATTCAGTAAGGGATTTCTCCTTAAAGTAGTGTACTGTAATCTAGCTCAATTCGCCTCATTGATTCTTTATACAAGCTTGAAATATCGACTCTTCCTTTCTTTCTGAGTCCAGCCACATTTCCATTTGGTTATGCTATACGCTAGTACTTGTTGCGGGGGTAGGCCATAGACCTACTAAGGCGCTAGCTATATATAATTTGCTCAAGTGTGAAAACGGAAGGTCCTGCACATAAAAAATATTAAACTTCAGAGACCTTTTAAAGCCTTTGATTACGTGGTCAAAACCCAGTACTACGGGTATGCCCATACATAAATGAGTGTAGAATTAACTTGCAGAAATGCCAGGTCGCTAGAACTCTGAAGAAAGGCTTAAAGCAGAGCTTTCTCACTCACTCAGAAAAGGCTCAATCATCAGAAATGGTTCGAGGAGAGCTTCAATCGAAAAAAGCCTACTTATTCTACTCGAAAGCCCTATTAGGCAGTAGAGTAGTGGCAAGCACAACAGAAAAGAGCTTTTCTATTCCTAGATGTCAGGTTAAGATGGGACTCAAGTCCAAAGTGCCATTACGGATGACAAAGCGTTTAGCAAATTCAAAACAACCTGTTTTCGATATCAAGGACTTCTTCTTAGATATATGAACATCTAAACTAGCCGTGAGCTATTGATAACGCTCAGTAACCTTACGATCCGCGAGAGCTTAACTAATAGGGCACCTAAGATTGCATACGCTTTAAAGACCTGTCCTGGGTACACCTCGTCAGCCAGCATCCACACTAACATGTGATGTGTTAATGTGAATGATGGCCATGAGCTGTAATAACCAAAGCTAAGCTTAACCTGTGTGAAAAGTCACACTTGATCCCATCCAATTAGATGAAGCTCCCTTGTACGGAAGCTAGAACCTCACCCACCTTAGGGACCAGGTCATCCATGTGGCCGCAAAATCATAGCCGAAGATCGCACCCACTAGTAACTCAGTGAGACCGGCAAGCATCGAATCGGTTGCCGCCTTTCATCTAACTAAATAAGAAAACTAAGGAAGCCCAGTCTATATTTTTCATCATCTCAGTGTGAATTTCCCTCAAAATGTTGTCTATAGGCTGCCCTTTTCGGATTAGTAAGGAAATTCACCAATCCAATCAATTTTATTAAGTCAACCTATACTTTCA